CTGAGATCTGAAATCCAGGATTTGGGATCCATATCCTGAAATCCAGGATGATCCATATCCCAAAATCCATGTTTGGGGATTGGGATCCCAAAATCCCTGAGATCTGAAATCCAGGATTTCAGGATGGGGAATGGGATCCCAAAATCCCTGAGATCTGAAATCCAGGATTTGGGATCCATATCCTGAAATCCAGGATGATCCACATCCCAAAATCCATATTTGGGGAGTGATCCCCAATCCCTGTGACCCCAAACCCAGGATTTGGGATCCATATCCTGAAATCCAGGATGATCCATATCCCAAAATCCACATTTGGGGAGTGATCCCCGATCCCTGTGACCCCAAACCCGGGATTTGGGATCCATATCCCAAAATCCACATTTGGGGAGTGATCCCCGATCCCTGTGACCCCAAATCCCGGGGTTGCCGGGGCTGTGCCGTGTCCTGCGGGACGGTCCCCGTGTGGTTCTCTGTAAATGTTGTACAGTTCCCAGTGCCAAATCCCATTAAATTCCTGACGCCTCTCGCTGCCTGTCCGAGTCCTGCTGGGATCCAGGGAGGGGAATTTGGGATCAACGGGGCTGGAGCTGCGTCCCCTCCATTCCTCGGGAAAATGATCCCTATAAAACTCCCTCCTGTCCCATTAAATCCCATAATTTACAGCCCCATCCTATTTACAGCAGTGGGATTTTCCTCACCCTCCTGGKCCCTGAAATCCTCAATTGAGCAAAGATTAAATCCTGTGAATTTRGGGAAGGGTTTGAATTTGGGTTGTACCAGGATAAACCCATCCAATTTTCCCAGCTGTCCTTTTTTCCATGAATTCATCCCGAAATTTCCCTTTTTCCATGGATTCATCCCAAACCCCCCTCCAATCCATCTGCAGCCCCAAATCTGGGATCCAGCTGGAATATTTTCACTTCTGCATTTAGGGATTTTTATTTTCCCCCATTCCCTGGATCAGACCCCTCAAATCCGGACACCGAGGTTAAGCAGAGCTCAGGTGAGGTTCTAACAAGGCCCGGCTTTGTCTGAGCGCCGATTTTCCCAGCTCCAGGTGGAAAATCCCGGGAAAATCCCTGCCTAAAATGTGACACCACCATGGTGGTCTCCCCTTCCCTGTCCTCAGGTGCTGTAAATAGGATTGGG